CTTCCCTCTGATCCTCTTTCTCTTTCTCTCATTCTCTCCTGTTCTCTCTGTGCCTCTCATACCTTCTTAAGAACTGACTCAGACAGCCATCAATTAGTCTAATCTCGTCTATAATGTGGGTCCCAATTGGTCACATTCATTCAGCTTATATCCAAGGAGATTGTGTTTAGGTCTTCACTCCGCACTGACCCCAGGATCAGTACAGACGTCCAACGCCCCTGAATGGCCCTCATCTGCAGTCCCTCCTTTCAAAGATCTCCCTCCAATCTTGTCAAAATTTCAAAGAGAAAGAAAAAAATTCAAAACTCGGTGTCCGTTTTCCCTCCTTTCCTTTTCCATCCTCCGCCTTCCCTCCTCCTCTACCCTCTCTCCACCACCCCTCCCCTCCTCTCCCTCCATCTCCCCTCCCCTCCCCTCCCCTCCCTTCCCTCCACTTCCCCTCTCCTCCACCTCCCCTCCCCTCCTTCCACCTCCCTCGTCATGTCACTTCCCTCCCTTCCCTCCACCTCCCCTCCCCTCCCCTCCCTCCACCTCCCTCGCCACGTCACTTCCCTCACCACCCACACATAACTTTACACACAACCGCCATGTCACCACTTTGCTCTACAATCTCAAGACGACAACAGAGAAAAAAAAACGAAAAAAAAAGAAAAAAAAAACAAACCGTAGAAATCCATTCTGCCTCTGTTCAAAAAAGTAAACATCGGTCTTTTTCCACTTAAAAGACTGTGTACCTTTATTGATCCACTGTTTGACTTTGGTTTGGGAGAGAGGGAAGGGGAAGGAGGGGAGGAGGAAAGGGGGGGAGGAAGGGGAAGAGGAAGGGGGGAAGGAGGGGAGGAGGAAAGGGGAGAAGGAGGGGAGGAGGAAAAGGTGGAGGAGGGGAGGAGGAAAAGGTGGAGGAGGGGAGGAGGAGAGGGGGGAGGAGTCGAGGAGGAAAGGGGAAGGAGGGGAGGAGGAAAGGGGAGAAGGAGGGGAGGAGGAAAAGGTGGAGGAGGGGAGGAGGAGAGGGGGGAGGAGTCGAGGAGGAAAGGGGGAGGAGGGGAGGAGGAAAGGGGGGGAGGAGGGGAGGAGGAAGGGGGGGAGGAAGGGGAGGAGGAAGGGGGGAAGGAGTCGAGGAGGAAAGGGGGAGGAAGGGAGGAGGAAAGGGGGGGGGGAGGAGTCGAGGAGAAAAGGGGGAGGAGGGGAGAAGGAAAAGGGGAGGAGGGGAGGAGGAAAGGGGGGAAGGAGGGGAGGAGGAAAAGGTGGAAGAAGGGAGGAGGAAAAGAGGGGGAAGGGGAGTATGGGGGGGGAATTTCCCGAAGACACCACTCCACCCCCATCCTCCCCCTCCCCTACCATCCTTCGCCTTCCTTTGCCCTCCCTCTCCTCCCCCCTTCCTCCTCCTCCCCCTTTCCCCCTACTCACCCCCCTCCTTCGAACCTTCCGCTAAACAAACGGAGACAGAGAGGCTTCATATCGCCTTTTACGAGGATAATTTGTAAACAGATAGCTACAGTTGTTTGCGGACGTTTTCTCCGTTTCAGGTGATGCAATTTCCGATTTTTTTTTTTTTTTTTTTTTTTTTTTTTTTACAAGATATCGCAGTTCTATTGCGTTTATCGTTCTCGTCTGTCTGTTTGTATTATTCGTTTGATGCCATAGTTGTTATTGTCTGATATATATACAGTAACTCTAATTGTTTTTTTTTATGGTATTGTTAATAGTTTGATATTTTTGCTGTTGTTATATTTAAACTATCGTTACAGTTATTACGGTAAAGAATTAGAAGTACGATTTTATACCGTCTTTGTAACTGCTACATCTCAAAACATTAATTTTATTTTGTTTGTGATTATAACAGTTTATGTAAACACCAAAAGCAACATCATATGGCTTACATGAGGCTTACGTGTATAACGGAAACATTAATGATTGTATCTATATATTTATTGTATATGCACCATTCTTATTGCTTTCAGGAAGATTTATTATCGTACATAGTATTCAATATTCATTGATTTTAGAGGAGAAATAACAGCTCTTTTCTAGATGTAGAAAATCTCTGAATGAAAATGAATAACTTCTCATAGCAAAATGTGGACCAAATACCGTTCCTTTCATTTCTATTAGCTTCACTTCACATTAGAATTTTCATCCTCGCTTATACTTTTATCTCCCTTTGTCACAATAAACTTTTATTTCACTCATTTATAGAATTGCTTTAATATTTTCTTTCTTTGATGAACGTACCCAGTTTTTTATTCATTCAATTCACTTTAATTCCCAATACGTAGTTCTAATACTTACTAATGCATGTCTAAGTCTCACATCAAACAACAGTAACAACAACATTACTTTACGGATTAGTCAACGCTACCTCTTGGTATTACCCAATACCTCCTTACCTTATAAACATATCCATTAGTCTTTCCATAAAGAGTACCTATCGATCTGAAAACAACCATAGAGACAACAACTCAAGCAGAAAGTGCTATACGTGAATCAGCTGATTACTCACACGAGACGTTGACAATAATGCGCTTCATAACAGCTGGCGGGACTTCATTCTTGGCGATGCACAGGTAAGCTCCCATCTGACGGCGGTTGACTCGGGTGAGGTTGAGGTAAGGGCCCTCCACGACCTCCACTGTTGGGGGGGGGAGGGGGTTGGGGGTTAGATAACGAATATGGTTTGGTCTTCTGATGTTAATTCCTTAGTTTTTTTTACTATAAGTCTTATATTCTTCTTGTGGTGATCATTGTTTCTTATTTGTTGCATTCTTAAATATGAGAGTCTACATACATACATACATACATGTATATATATATATATATATATATATATATATATATATATATATATATATATATATATATATATATATATATATATATGTGCAACTGGTTTCAATGCTGAACGGCCATTACGTTCCCCGGCCACCACCCCACTCACTCTTCATTCTCTCCTTCCGTCCTGTTCGGAGAACTATTTTTTCTTTGTCTTCTCTCTTCCACTCGATCTTGGGCTGCGGGTACCCCCGGGCGGCGCACACCAGCGTCACGCTCTCGCCGTCGGGCACCGTCACGTCGCTCGACGTCTCGTTGTCGATGATGTTCGGCGGAACTGGGAAGAGTGAGGCTTGCGTGTACAGGTATATTGACATGCGTACACGCGTACTCGCTGATACACATACACTGTGTGCGTATGTATGCTTATGCACACACACACACACACACACACACACACACACACACACACACACACACACACACACACACACACACACACACACACACACACAAACACACCAACGTACCTCCACACCTAATTTATATTCCATATAACCATGTTCACACTTCCACAAGGATAAAAATAGCTGAAATGCACAGGGCAGACGCACACCACACAGGGACCGGCCTCACCATGCACGTCGATGCAGCCGAGGGTCTTCTTCATAAGAGCCGTGTTAATCTGGCACATGTAACAACCTCGGTCGGATTCCCTCACCTGGGGGACAGAAGGAGACCTCAGGAAAAACGGGGACAGATAACGCAGAGGATTTGAGTTTTATCATTATTGGTTGGATTACTTTTATTAGTGTTTGTTGTTGCTATTAAAAGTTTTATTCTAAATTACTATTACAGTTATATATGTCAGCAGTGATCATAATAATGATATAATGATAATGAGGATGATAACGATAATAATAACAATAATACCGATAATAATAATAGTGATAATAATAATAATGATGTTAATAATAATGATAATGATGATAATAATAATGATAATGATAATTATAATGATAATAATAATAATGATAATAATAATAATGATAATAATAATAATGATGAAATAATAACAATGATAATAATAATAATGATAGTAATAATAATTGTCAATGCTAATACTGAAAACGATAGTGATAATAATAATGATAATGATAATAATAATGATAATAATAAGGAATGATAATAATAACTATGATAATAATAATAATAATAATGATAATGATAATGATAATAATAATAATGATAATGATAATGATAATGATAATAATATCAATGACAATAAGAGTATTGATAATGAAAGTAATAAGAAAGAGAAGAACAATAAATATACAAATGATTATACTTCCTGAGGGGCTCCGGAGGTCTGCTGATAATAATAATGATAATGATAATAATAACAAATATATTTATGATAAAGATAATGATAACAATACTAATGATAACAATAATGATAGTGATAAAAATGATAATGGCGATGATGGTGATGGTAATAATAATATTACTACTACTACTACTAATAATAATAATAATGATAACAAAAATAACCATTATAACCATAATTAAATCATAATGATAATCATAGTACTAATAACTACAACAACAACAATAATAATAATAATCATAATAATAACAATAATGATAGTAATAATAATAATAATAGTATGAAGAATATTAACAGTAATAAAATTATGATAATGATAATAATGATAATAATAATAATTACTAGTATTATCATTATTATTATTGTTATTATCATTATTATTACAATTAACATTGTTATTATTAGTAGTAGTAGGTGTCATTATTATTATTATTACTATTATTATTATTATCCTTATCATTATTATTATTATTATTATTATTATTATTATTATTATTATTATTATCATTATTATTATTATCATTATTATTATTATTACTATTATTATTATTATATTATTATTATTATTATTATTATCATTATTATTATTATCATTATTATTATTATTATTATTATATTATTATTATTATATTATTATTATTATTATCATTATTATTATTATTATCATTATTATTATTATCATTATTATTATTATCATTATTATTATTATTATTATTATTATTACTATTATTATTATTATTATTACTATTATTATTATTATTACTATTATTATTATTATATTATTATTATTATCATTATTATTATTATTATTATTATTTTTATTATCATTATTATTATTATTACT